CAATTCCCCAAACTGGCTCCTGTACCATGTGTTCAGGAATGGAAATAATAGTACCATGCATTGGATACTGACTAAGGCATGGGCAAAATATTACAATATGTAATACAGCTGGAGAACTGCTACCAGCCCTGGAAAGCAAAGCTACCTAGTGTCTTTCATTGAAATTGCTTCTTCAAAAGACTGTTTCATCATCCTGCCAATTCTTCCACAACTGGAAGGAGGGGAACATGATAGGGTCAGTTAATTCCATGAGTCCGAGGTATTAGCCATGCTCTGTGGCCATGAAGTTCATCCCTCCATAGAAGCAATGATGTGTGGAAAACCGCGATGATGGGTGAAGCAGCCTGCAGGCCCGTAGGTGTTCAATTTAGAAGAAACACTACACGCAGCAAAGGCAAATCCATACCAGAAATGTGTCCATTCCAGGAAGACAAGGCTTATTCCATGGTGAAAGGTGTCAGATACCATTAACTGCCGTGAGGGTGCAGGTTCATTACCATGGAGAGTGGTACCACAACAGGCTTTCGGTGTTGGTCTTTGCTGCTTGCAGTAGGGATGCTCAGTGTGTCAGTCACAATGACTGAAAGCCAACTGGCTGAGCCAATCATCACCTCCTACTCTGTCTTGATGACCCCTTCGTCCCTGAGTCCACTGGTCAATGATAGCAATGGCTGAGGGAAGAGCCTGACTGCTATCTCAGAATAGATCTCCCCTACACCAGGTTATTAAAGTCCTCTTCTTCTGAGGTACTCTTATCTCAAGCTCTCATGTGGCACACAATTACTCCCATGTCTATCACACATAAATAAGCATTTCCACATATTTCTTCCACAAATATCTGTCACCCATTTTCCAGTTATGTTTCTTCAATAATACTTACACTCTTGGCAGACCATTGGCTGCAATTCATGAAATGCTCTAGCTGATCAAAATGTATGACCAGGTTCACTGCACAAAGATGTACTTACTGTGAAGATGTCTTTCACCACTGACCTTCAGCCATGTCTTAGAAAAGTGCTGCAGTGCTGCAGCTGTCCACATGCTGGCTGTTTCTTCACAATATAAAGAACCCCTTCAGGGCTGGTCCTGATCTCCACTCCTTGGGTCAACATGTCAAAATTTAAAAGTCATGAGACCACAGGTGCTTGCTGAGGGATGGAAAAATGTACAGCAGAAGTAAGGACCACGGTATTGCACCTTTGTGTATCTTCCTTGTTCTCTGTGGTCAATCTCGGGCCTCATCACATGTACTGTATTCCACTTCCAGTAGCATGGCTGTCAAGAGAAATCTGTTTCCATTGCAAGGTCAGTCAGATAACACCCAGTTCATGATGGGCATCTAAGATCGCTTGATGATGTGGTGTCTCATGACCAGGTGCTCCATTTGCAGTGACTCCCAGCAGCAGGCCAGCTCAGTTCATGACGGGCATCTAAGAATGTTAGATGATGTGGTTTCCAATGAGCAGGTGCTCCATTTGCAGTGAGTCCCAGCAGCAGGCCAAGAGCTGTTTACCAAGGAGATGGTAGTCTGCTGATGATGGCAGAGGCTTGCTCTGAAATCCTAAGGGCTGCCACTGTCATTCACCTGTGTGGGCCTGCCAGGGGCTCCCATCAGCCCCCTTCATGTACTGACATCTCAAGTTCTACTGGGCCTTTGGAACCATAAGTTCCAAAAGAGCAAAGCAGTTGTTCCACTGAGGAGCCTTCTGTCCTCCAGGATCCAGCAGAAAACAGCCACTGTCAGATTCACTCAATAAATTAGCTGGAGTCTCATGCCCAAGTGAGAAATGTGTTGCCTCCAAAATGCATCTAGGCCCCCTAGGAATTGTCTCTTTCTTGGATGTGAGTGACTCCCAATCAATTATTTCCCACCTCTAAAGATTACTTTATGCACCATGAAGCTCTCCTAGAAATTTCATTGTAGAAGAATTTGAATTGCAGTTGGTATTATTCCCTAAGTTCTGAAATGTTTCACGAAAATTTCTAGAATGTTTGCTACCAATTTCTCACTTAGTCTAATCAACAAAATATCAATCATATAAGGGAAAAATGTGGTCCCTTATGGGAGAGAAAGATGATTAAGATCAGTGCCTATTAAGCTATGACACCAGACTGGAGAATCGTTACCCAAGAGGTAGGTAAATGGAAGTGTTGCTGCGTTTGCCTGCTGAGAGATCACAGTAACCCAGTGTCATCACACGAGATCCGACTATCTTTACTGCAGATCAAATAAGAGAGATAAAGAATAATTGGTGCTACCCATCACCCATGGAATTTGAAGTCCTTCCTAGTGCCACTGATCTCTGTGAGCTCTCCAAAGTGTGATAGTGTTTGACTCACTATTTTCCTCAACTACTCGCAAATATCTAAAATAGATTCTATTTTAGACAGAAAGCAATTTTTTAATTAATTTTATTGGTACACTTAAGGTATTCAATGATGCCGACTTCATTGGAAATTTGCACCTTTACATGACCCATCTTGCTTCTTATTTTTCCTCATCCCTGGCCCTCCCTTCAACCCCTCCCTCCTTCCCTATCTACATAGACTTTGTACCCATTTTTTTTTTCATTTTCACACATTAATTCCATACCCTTCTTTTCTTCCTCCAACCCCTCCCTTTTCCTCTTCCCTTTCATGTAACACATTATTATACCATTTATTCATCATTTACACTTTCAGTTTCTCACACTAGACAAACTATTCACTATTTGCACATGCGTATGCTATTTATTTCACTTAAGAGTATCTCACTGTGCATCCATTTAGTTACAAGTCTCTAGTTTCTTATATTTTATGGCTGAGCAGTGGTCCATTTTATTTTAAACACACACACACACACACACACACACACACACAAATACACACACATCTTCCATGGAGATACTTTAAAAAACCAGGATTAGAGCTTCTATTTGACCCAGCTATTCCCTTGTTTGGTATCTTCCCAAAAGAAATAAAACAACCACACAATTGCAATATATGTGCACTCATGTTTACAGCAGCACAGTTGTAATAGCTAAAACTTGGAAAAGCCCAATTGCCCTCAGCTAGAGACTGGATGAAGTTGTGGGGTTTTTTCAGCTTTAATTGAGTTTATTGGTACATTTTAGGGATACAGTACAGTTACATTCATTGTTGGGATCTTGTACCTCTACATGACAAGTCTTGATTCTCATTTTTCCCCTTACCCCTGCCCTCCCTTCACCCCCTCCTCCCCTCCCCATCTACAAACACTTTATTTTCATCTTTTCATTATCTCACATTTTTTTCTTTTCCCTTATTACCCTTCCCCTACCAATCCCACCTTCCCTACACCTTTAGCTCCTTTCTTCCCATTTCTAAATGTCAGTAATCTTATTAGAATCTTATGTATTATTTCAGATCATTCACACCAGGTAAACTTTTCAGTATTTACACATGTGTGACTTATTTATTTCACTTAGGAGTATATCATCAGTATGTATCCATTTTCCTATGAATGAATCTATTTTCTCATTCTTTATGAAGTTGTGTTTTTTAAAAGACAGTGATTTTCTCTCTGGAAACTGTTAGGAATGTCAAAAGCATATTTTTTTATTTTCATAATTGAAATAAAACTACTATTGGTGACTACTTGATCCAGCTCAAATTAGTTGCTGAACAATGTATAACACACACTATAGTTCATAAATCATAACAGTATGCAATTCAAATAGAAGTGATGCTGCTACCGAGAAAATGTGATCTAACATGAACCACCTAAGGATGCTTGCAGTGTAAAAAAATCAAACAAATCATTTAAAGTTTATTTACAGTTTAGGCAGAATTATTAAAGTATAAAATTACTGATAATGTACATAATCAACACTGGAGATTAAGCTGCCAATACAAGGATAAAAAACCTAAAGCTTAAGTAAATATTCCTGGGGAAATTAACTAAGACACAAAAGTAAGAGAAAATATGTGTGTTTATATTTCAAGAGCCTGTGAAACATCTACAATAAATGACATTAAATTTTACTGTAGTGAACATTTAGCAGTTTTTCAAAAAAAAATAGAACACATAGCAACAATAATACATAACAATCCCAGTTTGTTTTGCTTTGCATTGCTTTTTCTCAATCGTCACTGGTCATTGCTTTATCCTAACTTCAGTGAACTCCCTACACATTAACCCTTAATGTTTTTGGCATAATCATCTGCTCTGCACATTGACTAACTTATACAAGATCATAACCTGACCTGTCATGGCCTTGAAGCCCATCCCAAACCTTTCTGCCTTTCCTTATCTTCTTTTCTGAGCTGTCATCAGAAGAGAAGAAATTTCAAATGATCTTATCCAGCAGGGTACTGCTGAATCATGAAAGCAAGTGCTCAACCATTTTTTCTCTCTTTTGAATAGCTTCTGTGTTTCCCACACCTGACCCTCAGAGTTGCATTTGTTTCCTTTCCTTTTATCTTCATTGTGTCACTCTTGATAAGCAGGTATGTTGCAGTCATTCTGCCTCCATAACATTCTCTTTCTCCCTGATTGTAGGTTATCTGGACCAAGATATTCCTCCTTGCTTCTCTTCCACTTTCCTCCTGAAGTCCAATTCATTTGCAATCTGTTGGTTCATCGGGGACAATAATCATCTTGAAACAGTTTTTCAGCTGACTTCTATCTTGTAATATTATCATCAACTATGCTTTCTTCAATTAAATCACTATAAACTCATGATTATTTTTACATTTTCTGGCTTGTACTTATTTATTGAAGTGAGATCAGGGATAGCGAGGTATTCTGAATTCCTGTATGATGTAAAACAAGATTGTAAAAATGAATGATTTTCATTCAAATGCTTTTTGTTCTCTAGAGGTATGTACAACTGAGAGCAACTCACATAGAGGAGTCAGTGGGCCTTCAGTGGGGGACATAAACGTGGACGTCAGGCTAATCCTGCCTCTGTTTATAGTCCTTTATTGGTAACTAATCTATAAATTTAGGAATTCTCTATTTCCCATCAATAAAATTATATTTAAAATGTGGCTGTAGGTACTGAAAATAGTGCTGTAAAAGCATATCCAGCAATAACCAGCAGAAAATAAATAAGTTTAAAATGTTCATTTCTAGTTGACCACACTCAACATTTTACTTCTTATACAGTTACACCAAGAGTGAATTGTCTATAAAATTATCCAGATGTGTAGTAATGAGCTTAAAGTTTCCAAAAGAGTCCAATTTCACCCTTGTCTATGCAAGATCAAGTCATAGCTCTTGGAATATTTTGCATGGACAAAGAAACTTAGTCATATTTAAGTCTGGACATTATGCGTCACACCAAAGATCAAGTGGTAAAAGATTGGGCACCACCTGATGATCCTTTTGGGTGGCAATGGACATTCTAAGGAGTGGAACATAGTAGAAGGAAGTGGATCACTTGGTGTGCAACCTGGCAGGATATCTTGTCCCTGGCCATGTGCTCTTTTTTTCTGCTTTTTGGCTGCTATAAAGTGAGCAGCTTTTATTTCCTATATCATTCTGCTGGGATATTTCTGCCTTTTCCCAAGCCTAAAAAGCAATAGAACCATAAGGCAATGGAAGGAAAGCTGTAAAACCATGAGCCAAAATAGAGCTTTCCTCCTTTAAGGTGTTCTTCATCCAATCCATTAAAAACATTAAGAACAAATACTGTGTTGAAGTAAAATCAATTTGGCTTCAACAATGTTATATAAAACAGCTATATGATTTTTCACTATGCAGATTTTCACTCACAACTAAAAGATCATCTCTAATATGTATCTCCACCCTATTGGCCTATTTTACATTTTCAGAATTAACAACTCCTAAAATCATAGAAGTCATTTTCTTCTCCTCTCCCTATCCCTCTGCCTTTCTCTCCTTCTGGCTCTGTCATGCTGCCTCATTGATTCTCTTTCTCTGGAGAACTCTAAAACAATTGCAGAATCTTATAAGTCCCATCAGTGGATTCTCAAAGTTGTCATTAAATGTGAGCTGTACCCATCCTATTGGAATAATGGAAATAAACACAGAATGTCTTGTGTGGACAATTTTCAAC